GGATTTGTTACTGTAAAAGACACATTGCCATTAATCCCTGTGAAAGACTCGCCTTTGCTTCAAACGCACTCATCCCCTCATTCTTGCCACTCTGAAGCAGTTGTAGAAGTCCTCTTTCATGAGCATTTGTCATACATCAATTCAAAATGTTTATCTTTAATGGTATCTTTGACTTTAGGGAAGAGTCAGAGGTTGCTCAGTGCCACATCCAGTGAACAGAGTGATTGAGGATCCGCTATGAATGTGTTTACAAGCCTGCTTTTCTGTAGGCTGTCACTTGGCAGCAGCATTCACTACACTGAGGTCACTATATTTTCTATCACACTTTGTAAAGACACTCAAAAAGAGGAATTTTGAACTGCAGTGAAAGACACATTGCTATCAATCCTTCTCGAAATCCTCTTTGCTTTTAAAACATTTATCTTACCATTCTTGCCACTTTCTGAGGCCATTGTGGAGGTCCTCTTTTGTAAATGTCTAGCTGCATTGTCATGGCTGCCTCAATGTTTCAAACTATTCGTGTCTATTTCTATCATATAAAAACATTATGATGTATCTTTATTAACTGATTCTGGCACTTTGAAAATTCTAGCTCTTTCTCAAAGTCAAAGTCAAAATGGCCACAAAAGGTAACTATTTTGAATTGATTCAGAATATTGAGGAAGCCAGAATAGTGCAACTAAAGACATTCATGAAAGGCGACTTTCAGAACTGATCCAGAAAGTGTGAAGAATTATGGAATAAGTGTGTTTGAAGTGAGAGGAAATTTTTTTTTTTTGTCTTCTTCCTTTTTATCAGTACCGGGGATCGAACTCACGACTGCCTGCTTGCAAGGCAGGCGCTTATGCCGCTGAGCTAAATCCCCAGCCCCGAGAGGAAATATTTTGACAATGTGTCTTTTACTGTAATATTTGTAGAAAACAGTCACCATACATTTCATTATTTTAGTTTATTAGTACACGTATGTAGACATGTTTACATTTCTTGTGGTAAGCTGGTACATGTACACCACACATTTTAGTTCCTTTATTCACCCTCTTGCCCTTCTCTCCCTTCCCCTTCCATCTGTCTCTTAATCCTTTTTTTTCTCCCCTTTTCTGTACACATTTACAGTACATAATGTTTACATCCCTTGTGTAGACTTCATCATCTCTCACATGTGGTAATGTTGAGCCTAAATGTTATCCTGTCTAGGATTCAACCATATGAGACATATCTAGTGTTTGAAGAATTGGGCCTTCTAAAATTCTATTTATAAGACAACTTAAGTAGGTTCCAGGAAAGAACTAATCCCAGTGAAAGAAAGAACCGAGGCACAGAAGTTCTTGGAAGATCAACAGTCAGGAGCAAATATGTCTGAGTACATCGTGATGTCTGGTGCTCAGCTTGTTTCCAGTACACCCTGGGTGGAGCATCTACCCAGTCTGTCCTTCAGTTTTGTGACCCCAGAATGGTGGCGATATAAGCCTTGGAGATAATAAAGGAAATGTTTGTTTCTAATCTTAAGGGACTGAGGACATAGCTCAGTGGCACAGTGCCTGCCTCACAAGTGTAAGGTCCTGAGTTCAATTCCTATTACACACTCACACACACACACACACACACACACACACACACACACGGAAAAAAAGAAAAAGAAAGTTCCTATCTAATTTTGTTAGGATATCATGGCATGTGTAACTTGTCTGTGATACGAATATTGGTGCCAGGGATGGCAGCTGTGGCTTCAGGACCATTGAATCCTAGATGCCTTGGAAATCTCTTTCCATATATCAGCATCAGCAACAATGGTGTCAGGCTTGGAGGCTTGGTGAGGCTTGATGAGGCTTGGAGAACTGATAGCAACTGCTTGTATCAAGCGACGAGAATCATGAATCACGTGGTAGCCAAGAGATGAGCTCTCGGAATACACATGAGACACCACTGGGTGCTTGCACATAGGCTGCAGTGTAAAAAGAGCACTCAAAAGAGGTAAAGAAATGTTATTTTAGACCTGTGATGGCTGTTACTCTATGAAACTGAAGTTACATATAGAAGACTTTTGTTTGTTTGTTTGTTTTCTCGGCAACATTTACAAAAACTACATGTTTCTTCCTGTGGTAAAGTTAGCATAATATGCTGCAGTTAATGTGATACACTTAAAGATCAAATGGCAAGCATTTGGCTTTATTTCTTTTAAAAAAGAGCAGTAAGATTATTACAGGCTTTTAGGCATGAAGTTTAGAAGAATCACAGTGCACATCCCTGATTTTTCCATCCCTAGAAAAATAAAACAACACTGTGAATGAGCTGTTCTTTGGCACCAACAACTAGCTTATTGCAAAAGAAAAATAACTTTGGAAACAGCCCACTCCTTTCCTGCCAGAATTTTGAGAGATTGATGTCCTTTTCCTTCATGGCTGCAATGACTATCAGGCTGCAGATTTCCAGTTTCTTCCTGAAATCTTTAAATTGAGTTACATTAAAAACATATTTGTTGTTCAGTTTTAAAAAATTAGTGTCTGGTGACCACAGTCTTTATAAGACCTAAGGAATTCCCCTAAGAAACCAGAATTTTCTACAATGAATCCAAAGGTTGCTATGCAGCATTTAACTCAGTGTTTATTACCTGATGAACAAGCAGTGTGGTATGTCAGTATTCCATCCAGATAGTAATAATTTACAGATTTGCAATTTACTGGTGGAGCCAAATTTTTTCTTGATTATTGTTCATTTGAAACCAATTTTTAAAGCCCAAGCAAAACAAACTTTATTTTGATGCCTAAGTATTCTAGATAATCTAAGCACTCACAGCAAAGTGTGAGTTGGGGAAGGCAGCAGACATCAAGAGGTATGTGTCAGTGCCTTCTCTGGGCCAGTTTTAGTAAATTGGAGGTGAAGCGAATAGGCCCAGAATCCTGAGTTGCTGGAGTCTTAGATTACAAGAACTCTTCCTGCAGAAACCTAATGATGAACTAAGCGTTTGAAAGAGAAAGATTTATAAACTGTGCTTCTGATAAAGTTACATTCGGTGAAGAGCTGGAGTAATTTGTGTGTTTTTTTGGGTCCAGAAAAATAGTGTCACTAGTCAATCAAGGAACTGTTTCTATATTAGTTTAAGATGTAGCTTCCTAGAACACAAATTGGTAAAAGGAATATTAAACATTTATTCAAATCTGTTTTCATAATTTTTTTTAAACCATGTCCATTGTTTTGATCCCATTTCGCTGACTGGAATTTCACATTCTGGTCTCTTTCTTTTTGTACAGCTTGTCTTGATTCTTCTCAACGATAGTCGCCTTATCTTTTTGCCGAATTAATTCCTGTGGCAACTTGATTGCATTTCTGTTGCGGAGGTTTTCACTTCCTACTTTACATTTTAGATACTTGTGTTAGTGTTATCTCTTCTTCCTAGTTCAGTGTCATGAGATAAGAACAGTATCATTCCTATTTGCAGCTCTCAAAGGTCTGGCACGTAGTAGTTCATCCACAAATTCTTGTCCAATGAAAAAATTATATAGTTACTATGGAAATCTGAACTTACTTAAATTCTTTACTCCAAATTAGAAACATTCACAGGGAACTTTTTAAAATGAGAAAATCATCTATCATTTACCTATCTGTCTTTTCATCTATCTATCATCTGACACTTCTATACTCATGTCTGGTTTATAGCAAGTACAATAATTTAAACTACAAGTTTTGTAAGTGATCAGTATCAGCTCCCCAGCTTCAAATAGTATGCTATTAACTCTCAATTGTGGTTTAGGGTTAAATGTATTTGTTACCATGATATTCAAACATTTGTTAAATCTGATAAAATTCTCTGAGAAAGATCAACACTAACCTCTGTGATAGAAAATTCAGGTTTCAACCCAGAGATATGAAGAATTCAGCTGAAGCACTGCTTCACATGGGCCAAAATAGTCTTTCTTTCTATCTCTTTTTTTTTTTTTTTGAGAATAGTCATTTTTTTTGGCAAACAGTAGACATTTAGTGGAAAATATGCACCCAAAGGGAAGAGATAGATGGAGATTACTAGCTATAAAATATAGATAGGTAGATGATAGATAAATACCTTTTGTAACATTTTCTAATCCATATACTTTTTTTAAATATTAAAATTAACCTAAAAACCTCTTTGTGCATTATATTTGTCACTTTGCCATTTCTGGAACAAAATATATGAGACACGCAGCATATGGGAGGAGAGATTTATTTCAGCTCAAAGAATCAGTGGGTTTCAGTTCCTGTTTGCACAGTTTTAAGACAGAAACAGCATGACACATTGATGTGGTGGAAGAAAGTTGTTCACTGCATGGTGGTCAAGAAGCAGGAGAAGAGAAGAGCAGGGAAGGAGAATGTACAATTCCAGGTCATTCCCCCAGTGAGCCATCCCTCCAACTGGACCCCAAAACAAGACTTTTGGGGGAACTTAGATCTAAACCACAATAAAGGTTATAGTATGAGGGACCTGGTCAAGATCCCCCATTACCTGTATCAAGATAATGAGGATAAAACATGAAACAGACAAATTTAGTCATACAAATGAGTGACTGAGAAATCAGCGTATCCAGATGGACCGAAAGAGGGACCACCTAAGACAGCCCCTATTTATTGGATTTACACAGTGGTAGGTGGGGCCAGAGGAAGATTTAAAGTTGGCGGAAGATTCAGAGGTCTGACTCAAGTGGTAAGTATAATCTTGGGATAGCTCAAGAGAATGTAGATTGTTTTATGCTAAGAAAGATCTTGTCCTGTAGCGTTTTTTTTTTTTTTTTTTAATTTAGTAGTTTTAGTTTTAATCTCATGTGTGGGAGAGGATGGCCCATCACTAAAGAGTTAATGTGAAATCTCAAATGGGTGATAGCAACAATCCCAAACCTCCATTTATCCCTTAGGGAAGTACTTGAAATTACTTAGCGTGAATTTGCGGTCCTCAATGTTATATATATGCAAAAATAATTTCCAAATACCTGAAAATTTTTTAAAAATTCAAAGAAATAAAAATAATAATTGGACTGGCCCTGGATCAAGGCCGCAACTTCCTGATGCTGTTGGTTTCAGGCAGGAGTTTAAAGAGATGTCTTTCTATGTATGGTCTGTTGGCCATTTCAGAACTTGGGCAGTGAAATTGTCAATTCATTAGAAATAAACTGTTTGACGCAACACCCCCCCACACCCACATGAGTGGCTGTGAGTGTGGCAGGCAGCAGGCTGCCCAGGATGGGAGCCACCTGTGTTTACTGGGACCTCCTCTCCTCTCCCTCCCGCCCCCCATGCTGGGACCTGGAGCACTGAGAAACCAAGCAACCTCTCCTCTCCCTGGTGAGGGTCTGTGAGCTTGCTGGGATGAGAATTAAATATCACACCCCACCCCCACTCCCCGCACCCCCAGCAAGTGGGAGCCAGTGATCTGGACATCCCTTGAGAGGTTGACCATAGGCAATGTACCAAATAGGGGGATTTCCTACTACCATCTCTTTGAAGGTAAATACTTTTGCTTTATTCTAATTGATGGTGTTATTTTAGCCTGTTTTGTTTTGTTGAACTTCAATATACATGAAAGTATGGACAGCTATTTTGAAGAGAATGAGAGACTCTATGACAGCCATTAGTGACTTCCCTATTGTCTGGTTCTGAAGACCTAAAACGCCTTCCTCATTCTGTTTGAGTCAGTTTTATACTATGTTGTTTTGTATGAATTCTCTGTATGCGAAGATGTGGACAACTATTTGGAAAAAAACAAGAGACAATATGATAGTGAAGATTTCAGGTCAACTAGCTTTAAAATTTATATCTCTTGCATTGCTTTATGTCCTATTTTGTTCTGTTTTGTTGGGTTTAATTTTACCCCCTTTAAAATAAAAATAAATAATTGGAAATGTCCATCAACTGGTGAATGAATAAGCAAAATGTGGAAAACTTGTGCAATAAAGTAGTATTTATTTAGAAGGAATGAAGGCTGATACACTACAACATGCATGAACCCAGACACAGAAGGCCACATATGGTATGATTCCATTCATATGAAATTTCTGGAATACGTACATTTATAGAGAAATAACAGATTCTTGGTTCCCAGAGGATGTAAGAGAGGGGAATCAAGAGACTCCTGCTGGACATGGAATTTCCTTATAGGATGATGAAATGTCACCATTGCAGAATGCTAGTGGTTGAACAGCTTTGTGAATATACTAAAGGCCACTGGATTGTAATCTTAATGGTGACTATTATGATACATAATCTACATCTCAGTTTTTTAAAATACCAATTGAAGAATTTGCTCAAGATTTCTCAGAGATTTTCCAGCCAGTCCTGATGAGTAGACTGTAGTCACTGAATGCGGCTAATGCTGTAAGGTTTTGAAATCCTGTATCCCTTATAGCAGTTTACTTTGATTGATTTTATTCTGTTTTATTTTCCTTGGTTTTATCCTCTTTAAAAAAATGTCAAATGCTGGAGTCAGGTACAGTGGCTCAGGCTGTAATCCTAGTACTCTGGGAGACCAAGACAGGTGGATTACAAGTTTGAACCCAGCCTGAGCAATTTAGCATGACTCTGTTTGAAAAAAAATTAAAAATGCAGGTGGAGCTGAGGTTGTAACTCAACTGTGAAAACCCTGCCTTCCATCCCTAATACTGCAATCAATCAATCAATCAATCCAGTGGATTTCCCATGGTGTCTTTTTGTCCCCTTAGTTGTGTCATTCCTCTTCTAACATATCTTACTTATATGTGCTTAAGTTCTTACATATCTGTAATGCTCTGTGTTTCTGCTAAGCCTTTCAAGGTGATGACTTGTTCTTTATCTCTCTCCCTTCCTCTGAGTAAGATCTGAAGTTTCCTCTTTGACATTTACTCAGTTTCTTTCCCCTAATCTTGTCTAAGTGACCCCAGAGATATTTGGTCAGAGCTCACACAATGGTAATAGCTGCCCCATTGGTTAAGTAAGATATCTTACAAGATATTTCAATTTTATACTGTTTAGTATTATTTACTATTTTGTTATTATTTATTAACTGTACCCTAATAAATATTATTTTGATATTCAGGTTTATTAATTGTTTTGTAAGTGCACATTCCCACTAAGAATTCTTTGAAAATTGTAAGTTTTAGGTCCTCTTGCTCCATGTTGGCCATTGTGCATTGTGCTATAATAAACATGGGTATGCAGGTATCACTGTAGTATGCTGACCTTAATTCATTCAGCTGTATACACAGGAGTGGTACAGTTGGGTCATATGATAGTTTTATTTTTAGCTTTTGAGGAACCTCCAGACTGATTCCCATAGTGGATATACTAATTGATATTCTACCAACATTGTATGCATTCCTTTTCCTCACATTCTTTCCAGCATTTATTAGTGTTTGTATTCTCTGTCACTGCCATTTCTGATTGTACTTAGTAGAAATCTCAATGTAATTTTGATTTTCTTTTCCTGATGGTTAAAGTATTGACCATTTTTCACACATTTATTGGTAATTTATAATTCTTCTTTTGAGACACGTCTATTTAGTTCATTTGTCCTCTTATTGATTGGATTACTTGTTCTTTTGGTGTTAAATTTTTGAATTTTTAAATATATATAAACATATACACACACGCACACTCTGAATATCAATCCTCTATAGGGACAGTACCTGGCAAAGAGTTTTTCCTATTCTGTTGTGTGTCATTTTACTCTGTTGACTATTTACTTTGCTGTTTAGAAGATTTTCTAATTTGACGTGATCTCATGTGTTCACTCTTGCTACTATTTCCTGAGCTAGTTAGGGCCTATTCAGCAAGTCACTGCCTGTTCTATAATTTCTACTATTTTCCCTGTGTTTCCTTGTAGCAGTTTCAAAGTTTCACAACTTACATTTAGGATTTTTATTCACTTTGAGTTGATTTTTTGAGTGAGAGATAGGAATTTGTTCGCGATGTTTTATAGGTAGGTATTCAAGTTTTCCAGCACCACTTGTTAAAGAGGCTGCTGTTTCTCCAGTGTGTGTTTTTGGCTCCTTTTTAAAAGAGTGAATGGCTGTAGTTTCATGAGTTTATTGTTGGTTCTTTTACTCCATTCATCTATGTATTTTTTTATGCCCATACCATGCTGATTTTATTACTATGGATCTTCTCCCTATGGGTTGGTGTTCTCATATTGTTAAAATGGACATATTATTGAAAGTGATGTACAGTTTCAGTGTAACATTCATCAAAATACCATGGCATTCTTCACAAAACTAGTTCCTGTGGAAACCCAAAGACTCCTGGTAGGCAAGGCAATCCTAAGCAAAAAGAATAGTGCCAAAGGTACTTCTGTAGTCTTTTTTTTTTTTTAATTTATTAATTTATTTATTTTTTATTTTTTATTTTTTAAAAAGCCTACAGCACCCAGTATTCCCAGGCGTATTCCCAGGCGGTCTCCCATCCAAGTACTAACCACGCCTGACCCTGCTTAGCTTCTGAGATCAGACGAGATCGGGTGCATTCAGGGTGGTATGGCCATAGACTACTTCTGTAGTCTTAAATACATCAGTTCCAAGCATAAGACTCTTCTTGATCTAAATAGAATGAATATGTTTCTTGCCATGTTCTTTTTGCATATTATCTCTCTCTCATTTTCTTACCTTGTACATTCTACAACATGACTGAATTCTTCATAAGACTACAAACTCTTGTGAAGAGAAATATAAATTATACTCATTTTTCTACTTTTCATATCCTCCCCGTCACAGCAGCTGACACTCAGCACAAGCACGTTATACATAATATCCAGCAAGATACTTAACAGTAAGATTTTTTATTTTGTTTCTGATAATTTCATCAGTTTGCTACTTGTCACTTTTTGCCATTTCCAATAAAATTTTTGTCTTACTTTCTTGAGTTTGCTAATTTCTAATAGTCTTTTTCATTTCTGCAAAACTATTACTCTGGGCACAGGACTGTGTTTTGGACCGATTAGATTAGCCTTGAAGCTAGAGTTAATATCTGCACAAACTAATAAATGTACTACATGTCACTGAGTTGTATACTTTAAATGGTTAATGGTTGTGTTATATGAAAAGTCTCCTGGAGATTTTTTTTAACAAAGATAGCGTTTCTAGAAGACTTCATTCATATGTTTTTAACTGTCCCTGAGACAGACTCACCTATTCATATTTCCTTCTATTTTAAGAAGAAGAAGGATAGTAAATAAAGCTCAAAAATTTCCCTTCCTTTGAACTTTTGTAATTAGACAGCCTGAGTTTAGCACATACTAGCTGTGTGATCTGCATCAGTCACTTAGAAAGTCAGTTTTCTCATGTAAAAAATAGGAATAACAGTAGTATCTATCTCCTAAGAATGAACTAAAGGTTGAACAAGTTAATATATACAAATGCCCCTTGGAAACATGTATGTGTATAAGTGCCTATATGCACACTTACCTTTTTTTTTTTTTTTTTTTTTAGTTTTCCCTTGGTCTCTGAAATTACATACAATAGACACTGAGTTACTTGTGCCCTTTGCTTGGGAGAATAGAGCTTTCTCCAATACCCACTATTCACAAATAAATGCAAGTCAAGGAAGAAACAGTTATAAAAGTAAGCACAGATCATGTATGATGAATTTCAGCAGTTCAGAAAAGTAACATAGGAGGAGTGTCAGATACAGAAAGAAAAAACCTTAAAATGATAAAATCTGCAATTCCTCTTCGTGACCTTTATTTTTCAGCAGCAACTCTTTTATTGTGCAAACTTTGGTTAAAATTGTTATAACTCTTTAATCTAGTGGGGAAAGAAGACTTGCACTACAAGTTATCTCCTGTGTTAAGTAAGAAAATAGAACAATTGAGTGGTACAATACTTCTGGTTTGTCTTTAGCATGAAAACAAGATCACCCGATATGTTATCAAGAGGAAGCAAGATCCAGAGGAGATCTCTGGATTAGGAGGGATCAGAAGGTGCAATCATGAGTGACTGTCGCCAAACCGCTTCTCCTAATTCAGTTTACTTATTCACTTGAAAAATGTAAGCACTAAATCTACCCTCTCTCGTGACACATACTTTTTTTTTTTAAATTCAGAAACTCCTTTTCATAGAATCACTCTGTTCCCAGGGAACTTAAAAGATGTTTTTGTCCCTTTGTATGGTATATTATGAAATGGCTATAGGCATGTTTTAATACATTTTATAC